AAACATAAACAAACCCTATGCCCACACTTTGATATGCCCTTTATACCATTGTGAGGAACTTACTGGAGATCACCACACAGGAACTGCTTTTTTTTTTTTTAAGAGAAAGGAATATTATCAGAAAAATGTACTTCTATAGCTGATCATCTGACACCCTTTAAATGATCAAAATTAAGGATATTTAAAGCATGCATTAATTGGTGATTTGCAGTTAGTTTTATCCTATCAGGGAGTAATCCCCCTTTTCTTTCTTTTTTTTTTATCATTAATCTACAATTATATGAAGAATATTATGTTTACTAGGCTCTCCCCTATACCAGGTTCCCCCCACAAACCCCCTTACAGTCACTGTCCATCAGCATAGCAAAATGTTGTATAATCACTATTTGTCTTCTCTGTGTGGATTATCAAGTCTTTTTTAAATGTTTCTCCATGTCTTTTTAATTATATTCCTATTTTTTCTTTAACCTTTCACTTGACAAAAATCACACTTTGTTAAGGCCTAGCTCAAGCCCTTCTCAACTCTGAGGCAGAATTATTTAGTCCCCAGTACATTTTTTGTATTCTGATTAGTTGTGGATAAGGTCTGTGTTCTACTCATCTTTATATAACTCAGTGTTAATGAATGTAGTTTGGTTAAATGTGCATAGTCAACATTAATGGATTAATGAATTTTTACATTGCTGTGTAACATGTCTGACAATTTCAGATACTGCACAGAGGCATTGTAGAATAGTGAGAAAAGCACCAAAGTAGAGGCAGTTCCGTGGCATGAGAAGAGCATGGGATCTGAGACTCATGCTGAGTCAATATTTTAGGTGTGCATTTTACTACATTAAATCACTTTGGGGAAAATAATCTTTGAACTAAAGTTTTCTTATCTGTAAAATGGAAATAAATAGCTGCTTTGCCTGCCTTATAGGATTGTGCTAAGAATTCAGTGAAATCATATATATATGAAAATTCTCTACATATTGTAAAATGTTACCAAAATGTTGGTAGCAATTTGATTTTTCCTCATGCATCTAGATGCCCTGTTTTTGTGGTTTTTTTAGACCACGGCACAGCGTGGCAAGTTTAGAAAGCATTGTGAATGAAGCTAAGAACATTCCAGCTTTTCTACCCAATGTGTTGGCCCTGAAAGAAGCCTTACAAAAGGCTCGAGAGTGGACCTCTAAGGTGGAAGCTATTCAGGTAAGAAGGAGCTGTTTAAATTGTCCTGACATTCAGATAATGCTATCTCACATATCAATCTTGTAAACCTTTAGTTCTTCAGAATATATTAGCCATAGTAAAATAATTGTAGTACTTAAAATTCACTTCTTCTATCTGATTTTATAATTCAAAATAAATATTACCTATTTAAATATTACTTGTTTCTATTGACTCCCTACTATGAAAGATGATGGGATTAGCTATTTATTTAACTCTCAGTGGTAGTAGGAATTTTTTTTCCCTGCTATATTCCTTGAGTCTTTTCCATATGCATGAATTACTTTTAAAATGAGGCAGAAAAAGAAAATGAAATGAACATTTACTGAACACCACAATACCCATGGTACTATCTAGTTGTTTGGGATCATAAGTGTAAAGGAAATATGTAAAGATAGAGCTCAGGCCCTTAAAATAGCATATTCTGTAGTTGAAATAATTTAATTCAAAATAGACTGAAATAAGTATTAGAGTCTAAGTATACTTAAATACATAGTATTTCTTCTGAATTATAAAGACCATTAAGCAGCATTTTATAGTATTCAGTATATAAATACTCTTTATTATAGAACCATACCCAAAGGAAAAGGAAATCCAGCTCTCTCCCTAACTGCTGTCCCAGAAAGAATATATCCTGGATGGCAAGTTCTAGTGACTTCTGTTTAACTTTTTTGTCAGTTGACTTTTTATGGGACCTGCTTAACTGCCATCTATCTATGGTAGATTTTTAAAAATTATCTCTTTTTATCAGGAAACCCCTGTTTGTTTCATCTGTGACCTATTTCAGGCAGTTGGTTGTCCTTAAATGTCTAATAATCCTTATTTGGATATTTATTTATGATTGAAGGACTAAGTTGGCAAGTATGGATAGTTGTCATATGTTTTCTCTGTAATTTTGAGGGACTTTTTCTCCACCAAGCCCTTCCCTTTAGTGGGAGGACTGACTCGCAGGCTGTAAGTAAGTGGACAGTTTCTGTGGACAGGCTAACACTTATTTAGGATATATACCTTTGGGGCAGGCTACATCTGGGCTTAGCCAGCAAGTATTCTGTAGTTACATGGCTATAGTTGGGCACAAGAGGGAGTAGTAGTAAATAGGGGATTTCTTGACTCCATCTGTATTTGAGTTCTCTTTCCTCTTCCAATTAGCTGTCTATTCTTATCCTAGTACCATAGGGATTTAATTAGACCATTATAATACTTACAGGGCTAGAGTCTTTCTGTTACTCTTTTTAAAAATTCACTTGTTTCTTGCCTATTTATTTTCCCACATGTTTCAATGTAACTTTGAAAATAAATTTCTAGGCAGGTGGGTGAATGAATATATGGGAAAAACCTTTTATGGGCACACCTCGTTTTATTATGCTTCCTGTTGTTGCACTGTAGTTTTTACAGATGGAAGGTCTGTGGTGATCCTACATTGAACAAGTCTCCTGGTGTCTTTTTCCAACAGCATTTGCTCACTTAGTGTTTCTGTGTCACATTTTGGTAATTCTTGAACCTTTTCACTGTATTTGTTAATGGTGATCCGTGATCTATGATTGCTTACTTTACTATTGCAGTTGCTTTGGGGCACCACAAACTGCACCTATATAAGACAGTGAACTTGATTAATAAATATTGTGTGTGTTCTGACTGCTGCACTGACAGGCTGTTCCCCCCATCTCTCACCCTTGGCCTCCCTGTTCTCAGACAACGATACTGAAATTAGGCCAGTTAATAACCCTATGATGGCCTGTAAATGTTCAGGTGAAAGAAGAGTCACATGTCTCTCACTTTAAATCAAAAGCAAAAATGATGTAGCTCGGTGAGGAAGACATGTCAAAAGCCTAGAGAAGCTTAAAGCTAGGCCTCTTGCTACTGTTAGCCAACCTGTGAATGCAAAGGAAAAGTTCTTGAAGGAAATTTAAAGTGCTACTCCAGCGAACATATGAATGATAAGAAAGCAAATCAGCCTTACTGCTGATAAAAAGTTTTAGTGTCTGGATAGATGAAAACAGCTACAACATTTCCATCAGTCAAAGCCTAATCTGGAGCAAGGCCCTAATTCTATTCAATTCTGTGAAGGCCAAGAGAGGTGAGGAAGCTGCAGAAAAAAAGTTTGAAGCTAGCAGAGGCTAGTTGGTGAGGTTTAAGAAAAGAAACCATCTTTATAACCTGGAAGTACATGAAGCAGCAGTTGATGTAGAAGCCACAGCAAGTCATCTACAAGATCTAGCTAAGTTAAGTAATGAAGGTGGCTACACTGAACAACAGATTTTCCGTGTAGATGAAACAGACTTCCATTGGAAGAAGATGCCATCTACATCAATGACTGGCTTCAAAGGACTGTCACACTCTCTTGTTTGGGGCTAATGTAGCTGGTGACATTAGGTTAAAGTCAGTGTTTGTCATTCTGGGAATCCTAGGGCCCTTAAAAATTATGCTGAATCTACTCTGTTTGTGCTCTGTAAATGAAACAATGCTTGGATGACAGCACATTTGTTTACAACATGGTTTACTGAATATTTGAAGCACCCACTATTGAGGTCTATTGCTCAGAAAAAAAGATTCCTTTAAAAATGCTACTTCTCATTAACAGTGTACCTGGTCACCCAAGAGCTCTGATGGCGATGTACAATCAGATTAATGTTTTAATGCCTTCTCACACAACATCTGTTCTTCTAGGCTATGGATCAAGGAGTAATTTCAACTTTCAAGATTATTTAAGAACTACATTTCATAAGGGTATAACTGCTATAGATAGTGATTCCCCTGATGGATCTGGGCAAAGTCAATTGAAGATTTTCTAGAAAGGACTCACCATTCTAGATGCTACGAAACATATTTGTGATTCATGGGAAGATGTCACAATATTAACATTAACAACTTTAGAAGAAGTTGACTCCAGCCCTCACGGATGACTTTGAGGGGTTCAAGACTTCCATGGAGGAAGTGACTGCAGATGTGATGGAAATAGCAAGAGAACCAGAATTAGAAGTGGAGCCTGGAGATGTGACTTAATTGTTGCAATCTCATGATAAATCTTGAACAGATGAGTTGCTTCTTATGGACGAACAAAGAAAGTTTCTTGAGATGGAAGCTACTGGTGAAGATGCTGTGAAGATTGTTGACAAGAAAGGAGTTAGAATATGACATAACTTAGTTGACAAAGCAGTGGCAGGGTTTGAGAGGATTGATTCCAATTTTGAAAGAAGTGCTTTGGTTTAAGTGGTATCAAACAGCATTGCATGCTACCAAGAAATTATTCATGAAAAGAAGAGTCAGTTCAAGAAATAAATGCTGGTGAGGATGTGGAGAAATGGGAACTCTCTTACACTGTTGGTAGGAATGTAAATTGGTGCAACCACTGTGGAAAGCAATATGGAGGTTCTTCATAAAGTCAAAAATAGAAATATAATTTGACCTAGTAATTCCACTCCTAGGAATTCACCCAAAGAAAACAAGATCCCAGATTCAAAAAGACATGTGCATCCCTATATTTATCACTACACTATTTGCAAGAGCAAGATGTGGAATCAACCTAAGTGTTCATCAGTAGATGAATGAATAAAGAAGAAGTGGTACATATACACAATGGATTATTATTCAGCCATAAAAAGAAAAGAAATCCTCCCATTTGCAACAACCTATATGGAACTGGAGGATATTATGCTCAGTGAAATAAGCTAAGCAGAGAAAGACAAATACCAAATGATTTCACTTATTTGTGGAGTATAAAAAACAAAGCAAAACAGAAGTAACAGAATAGACACTGAGAAGGGACTAGTGGTTACCAAAGGGAAGGGTTTGGGGAGGGTGTTGGAGAACAGGGAAGAGAATAAAGGGGCACAATAATAAATAATCACAATATACGTTGGTTATGGGAAAAGTAGTACAGCCTGGAAAATACAGTTAATGATTCTGTAACATCTTACTATGCTGATGGACAGTGACTGCACTGGAAGGGGTGAGAACTTGATAATATGGCTAAATGTTGACTTATTGTATAGTAGCATTTTTAGAATAAATGTTAAGTTATGTACATTGTTTTTTTTTCTTGGTTATCATTTAATTACATGAGGAACATTATGTTTACTAGGCTCTCCCATTACGAAATCCCCCCCACATACCCCATTACAGTCACTGTCCATCAACATAGTAATGCTATAGAATCACTACTTGTCTTTTCTGTGTTGTACAACCCTCCCCGTGCCCCCCACCCTACATTATGTCTGGTATTAGTAATGCCCCTTTTTTCTTTCCCCTTATCCCTCCCTCCCTTCCCACCCATCCTCCCCAGTCTCTTTCCCTTTGGTAACTGTTAGTACATTCTTGGGTTCTGTGATTCTGCTGATGTTTTGTTCCTTCAGTTTTTTTCTTTGTTCTTACACTCCACAGATGAGTGAAATCATTTGATACTTGTCTTTCTCCACCTGGCTTATTTTACTGAGCATAATACCCTTTAGCTCCATCCATGTTGTTGCAAATGGTAGGACTGGTTTTCTTCTTATGGCTGAATAGTATTCCATTGTGTATATGTACCACATCTTCTTTATCCATTCATCTATTGATGGACACTTAGGTTGCTTCCATTTCTTGGTTATTGTAAATAGTGCTGCGATAAACATAGGGGTGCATATGTCTTCTGCAAACTGGGCTCCTGCATTCGTAGGGTAAATTCCTAGGAGTGGAATTCCTGGGTCAAATGGTATTTGTATTTTGAGTTTTTTGAAGAACCTCCATATTGCTTTCCACAATGGTTGAACTAGTTTACATTCTCACCAGCAGTGTAGGAGGGTTCCCCTTTCTCCACACATCCTCGCCAACATTTGTTGTTTGTCTTTTGGATGGTGGCTATCCTAACTGGTGTGAGGTGCTATCTCATTGTGGTTTTAATTTGCATTTCTCTGATGACAAGCAATGTGGAGCATCTTTTCATGTGTCTGTTGGCCATCTGAATTTCTTCTTTGGAGAACTGTCTGTTCAGATCCTCTGCCCATTTTTTAATTGGATCATTTGCTTTTTGTTTGTTGAGGTGCATGAGCTCTTTATATATTTTGGATGTCAACCCTTTATCGGATCTGTCATTTATGAATATATTCTCCCATACTATAGGATGCCCTTTTGTTCTATTGATGGTGTCCTTTGCTGTACAGAAGTTTTTCAGCTTGATATAATCCCACTTGTTCATTTTTGCTTTTGTTTCCCTTGCCTGGGGAGATATGTTCATGAAGAAGTTGCTCATATTTATGTCCAAGAGATTTTTGCCTATGTTTTTTTCTAAGAGTTTTATGGTCATTGTTTTTTAATGTAATGCTGTTGCACACCTCACATACTACAGTATAGTATAAACTTACCTTTTATATATACTGGGAAACCAAAAAATTCATTTGACTTAACTTTATTGCAATACTTGCTTTATTGCAGTGGTCTGGAACTAAACTTGAAATGTCTGTGACATATGCCTGTCTTGGAATGTCAATATTTAGCCGAGAACACTATCTATGCCTTTTCTTCAGAACCTCTAAATAACAGTGTCATGTGGATATATATAGTTTCTTATAGGAATGGTTATGTGTTCCGTCTGCTAGGTTTATTTAAGGTGTCACTCTGAATTAATTGTCTACAGGACGCCAACAGACTTCATGTGTTGTTGACAAATTTTGGATGGATTACTTGTTAACTGTTTTACCTCCTGCAATGATTGAATTACTTAGTAAATTTAAAGCAAGATATAAGTTATCCAAACAATGTCTTCATTACACAGATACTGAAACATTGTGACTTAGAAGGAAAATACACATTCTCATTAGTGTTTGTATAACATTAGATGGAGGTGGTTGTCAACTAAAATGCTGCTTTGTAGTTGCAAAGATTGTGAAAGACTTTGAAACAGGTAAAAGAGATTATTATAATTGTATGTCCTTTCAATGAAATTCATGTTATCTAGTAAGCCCTCCAGCATATTCTGATTCAATGAGTGTATGCCTTAGGTTTTATTTTTTCTTTTTTATTAAGGTATCATTGATATATACTCTTATAAAGGTTTCACATGAAAAACACTGGTTACTGCATTCACCCATATTATCAAGTTCTCCCCATACCCCACTGAGTCACTGTCCATCAGTGTAGTAAGATGCCACAGAATCACTACTTCTCTTCTCTGTGCTACCCTTTCTTCCCTGTGACCCCCCCTCCACCATGTGTACCAATCATAATACCCCTCAGTTCCCTTCTCCCTCCCTCCCCAACCCCTCCCCTTTGGTAACTGCTAGTCCCTTCTTGGAGTCTGTGAATCTGCTGCTATTGTGTTCCTTCAGTATTCCTTCGTTGTTATACTCCACAAATGAGGGAAATCGTTTGGTACTTGTCTTTCTCCAACTGGCTTATTTCACTGAGCATAATACCCTCTAGTTCCATCCATGTTGTTGCAAATGGTAGGATTCGTTTTCTTCTTATGGCTGAATAATACTCCATTGTGTATATGTACCATACCTTCTTTATCCATTCATCTCTGATGGACACTTAGCTTCCATAACTTGGCTACTGTAAATAGTGCTGCAATAAACATAGAGGTGCATATGTCTTTTTGAATCAGGGATCTTGCTTTCTTCGGGTAAATTACTAGAAGTGGAATTCCTGGATCAAATGTTACTTCTATTTTGAGTTTTTTGAGGAACCTCCATACTGCTTTCCGCAATGGTAGAACTAATTTACATTCCCATCTTTTCTTTGATTAAGCTATTTTGTAACTCTGTCAATTAAAGTAATTGAAGGATGAATGTAATATTCATGAGTAAAATAATGAATGATTTCATTCATTTATTCAAATGAATAAAATAGTAATACAAATGAATTATGTCCAAAGAAAAGCAAATAATTACTCTGTAATGGAACAATTGATTTTTACCCTATAGAAAAGATGATTCCATTGTCCTGTATGATACTCAACATGTGTTTACATCTATTAGTAAGTTCCTCTCCTCATTCCTAATTGCATTTGTATATGCCTGTTCTTTAGATTGTTCTTTGAACTGGTTTTTACATCTTACTGGGTTCCTCATTAATAAAGTAAAAATCTTTGACAACATGAATTTATACAAACTCTTTGTAAAGGCTACTGTAAGCTCTATTAATTCAAAAGATACAGTTAGTTTTAAAGAATAATTTAAAAAATTAACACTAAACTCTTCGTAAGATCTTCTGACAACAGATTGTTAAACTCCATAAGAGAATGCAAATTGTGTGAGAAAGTACTTTGGTTTTTCAGAGTGGCAGCAACTATGCTTACTTGGAGCAGCTGGAGAGCTTATCTGCTAAAGGGCGCCCTATCCCTGTGCGTCTTGATGCATTGCCCCAAGTGGAATCACAGGTAGCAGCGGCCAGAGCATGGAGAGAGCGAACTGGGCGGACCTTTCTTAAGAAGAATTCCAACCATACTTTGTTACAGGTAAAGAGTAGTTTATTTATACACATACGTCCACACCCTCATTAAATATCTAATTTAACACCTACAGATAGCAGTAGTAGTATTGGTGAGGGCTGTTTTCAGTTTACCTGGTCATAGTTATTCATGTGATTTCTAGGGTAATATCAAGTGTTGACCAGAAATCTGGAGCCTTAGGCAGACATATTTCTGGTTCATCTTTGCTGTGTCCAAAAAAAGCAGTCGGCCTAGATCTTATCTCTGTTTTTAATGGACTCTGTCACTGAAAGATACTATTTCTCAGAAGCACAAATTTAAATACTTATTGTTACCCATTTTATGTTGAGTAGTTGAAAGCATAGGCTTTGGAATAAGATAGATTCATGTTTGAGGACTGGCTCCCCAATTGCTAACCCTGTGTCCTTGGGTAAGTTGTTTAATTTCTGAGCCTCAGTTTCCCTTGTTTGTAAAATATGGATAGTACTACCTACTTCAGAGGTTTTTTTGTGAGGATTAAATTAGATGATGTGTATAAAGTCTGTAAGAAAGTGCCTAGGACATGGTGGTTGATCAATAAATGTTTCTTATACTATTGTCAGTTTTAAGGTTTTTTTTAAAACCAGAGCTCTTCTTGGTTTTATTTTTATAGGTCCTGAGTCCCCGGACTGACATTGGTATATATGGAAGTGGTAAAAATAGAAGGAAAAAAGTAAAAGAACTAATAGAAAAAGAAAAAGAAAAGGAGCTGGACCTTGAGCCTCTGAGTGATCTGGAGGAAGGATTGGAGGAAACTAGAGACACAGCCATGGTGGTAAGAAATTATTTGTCTTCAATTTGCTTGGCAAATATAAAACTCTTTGAAGATACTAGCAGATTCACTTTTTACATTGTTAACTAAACTTTTTGTTTTTTGTATACTCTATCATTGGCTGTGTGGTTTTATGTATTTCACATTTAAAAAATATTTAAAGTATGTAATAAGTATGTAATTTTCTGCTCTTGATGTAAAATTGTTTTTTCTATATCTCTTGTTCTTTATTATTGTTTTAATGTTGTCTGATATTCCATCAGATTGTCCATAATTTGCTGAACACTTTTCTGAAATACTGAACATTTGAGTTGTTCCTAAATATTCACTATTATTGATGATAATGACGAATTGAACTTCTTTGCATAGGCTTTTCCTTTTATCAAAGTTTTTTCCTACATTTGACATTTAGGAATGGGATCAGTAACTGGGTTACAATTTAGTAGCATTTTGTGATGCTTAATATTGTTCTTTCCAAGGGAATTGTATCAGCTAACTAGTAACAGCTATAATTTAAAGTATCTCCCTTTTCTTAGTAGCTACCATTCAATAGTATAGTTAGTGATCAGTAAAATATTTGTAGCTAAGGAGAATTATGGGTTTTTTATTTGGAGCATTGAAGATCTGTTAAGATCACTAGGATCCTGACTGAGGAAGTAGAGAGAAAATAAAGATGAGTTTGGGCAGTATGCAGTAGTATGGAGTAGTATTAAGTAACTTGATATGGCTGTTTCTGCCTACAAATAATCTTTTAGTTTGAGGACAAATGGAAATGATGTCTGATAAGAGAGCCTGCCTAACAAGTCAGTTTTGCCTGGAAATTATTTCACAATTATTTCAAAGCTACCAGAGTTTAAAAAGAAAATGTACTGACACTACTCATGATAATTAAATTTTGCTTGCTTTTATTTACTTTTGAATGAGTTACATAAAACCTTGTCATAATTGGTCATCAGGCTTTATTACTCTACTTCTATACAAATTGGAGAGGCATTCTAGAAAGAAAGAAAAATTGGTTTATATAGAACTTACCCAGGGAATGAATTACAAGGGGATGAGGACCTAATATTATTGAGTGTTACCTTGCACCAGGCACCAAGTTAGGCACTTTCAAGTATTACATAATCCTAAAAATGAAGTGAGTTTTCAGAAAACTTGTGCCCCACATTGAAGGTCTGTAAGTACAAGAGCCAGGCTTCAACCCATGTTGCTTGACTTCAGTGCATACTCTTTCTACTGCACCTTACCTAAGAATTCCAAGTGCTCTGATAATGTAAATTGTTAAGCATGATAGCACTTAGCCCATTTCATAGATGAGGAATGTTTTCATGGAAACCGTCAGCCTTTCCAAAAGGGGGGGGATTTTGTGTGTGTGTGTGTGTGTGTCCACACCTCACAGATGGATTTGGTATTTTTGAAGTATTTTTCAGTAACTCCTTTCAATTACATGTTTGTTATGTATAGGTGGCAGTTTTCAAAGAACGGGAACAAAAAGAGATTGAAGCCATGCATTCCCTCAGAGCAGCCAACTTGGCCAAGATGACAATGTTGGACCGCATAGAGGAAGTAAAATTTTGCATTTGCCGCAAGACAGCCAGTGGATTTATGCTACAGTGTGAGCTCTGCAAAGACTGGTTCCATAACAGCTGTGTTCCCCTTCCTAAATCAAGTTCCCAGAAAAAAGGGTCCAGCTGGCAGGCTAAAGAAGTAAAATTCCTTTGCCCTCTTTGCATGCGATCTCGAAGGCCAAGGCTAGAGACTATTCTGTCACTTCTGGTATCCCTTCAGAAGTTGCCTGTACGGTTGCCCGAAGGAGAAGCCCTACAGTGTTTGACAGAACGTGCTATGAGTTGGCAAGATAGAGCACGGCAGGCACTAGCCACAGATGAACTGTCTTCTGCTCTGGCCAAATTGTCTGTGTTGAGTCAGCGTATGGTGGAGCAGGCAGCTCGAGAAAAAACTGAAAAGATCATCAGTGCAGAACTGCAAAAAGCAGCTGCCAATCCAGACTTACAGGCAAGTTTAGGATTTTCTTTCTTTTTCTCTTTCATTGGATGATATTTGTCAGTGTATAAATAGTAAATCAAATCTATCTTAATACTAGTTGATTAGGAAAACAACAGTAACTTTCTAGCAACTGTTTATCCATAATGTCATCTTCATAAACACACAGGATTTTCTTTGGATAAATACATAGATCATTTTAGTGAAATACTACCTGGAAATATCATTCAGGTGGACTTAGCATCATAATCAAATAACCTGATCTGTACTAACTGTTGAACTCTGTTAGCCACTCTGCAAGTTCATTACATTTTGATGGCCTTAAGTACATATTATTTACTATTATTTAGTATGTCTCTGTTCATCTTGGAATTGTTTGTTGTTTTAGGGACATTTACCTAGTTTCCAACAGTCTGCTTTTAACCGGGTGGCAAGCAGTGTATCTTCTTCTCCTCGACAAACAATGGATTATGATGATGAAGAAACAGATTCTGATGAAGACATCCGGGAGACATATGGCTATGACATGAAGGTGATTACACGGACAGGCTGTGTGGGTACATACTTGATTACTTTGGTTTGTTTAAAAAGCTGCTGAACACTTATGTTTGAGGCCTGAAGGTGAAAGAGACAGCTAGTCATCTATATATCCTGCGTTTATGGTGACAGCATTTTTTCAAAGCTCAAAAAAAAAAAAATATTGATAAAAAAATTGTATTTTAAAAGATGGAATTTAAAAAAATGTTTAGTTTCCTTACCATACTGTAACTCCTCATGGCTTAGAGGGACTAGGAGAAATATCCATTTAGGTCACTGAAAGCTTTGGTGGCTGTTTTCAGAACTTTTTCTATGGTTGTTAAAAATCTGTATAATTTCGTTAATCCCATTCTAGCTGTGCTTTGAGTCTTCTGCTCTACTCTCTCGTCTGGATGGTGCTTGGTAGAATGTCATACTCAGAGATGGATAATACTTGGGCCCATCGTTTGAATTTGCAGAGTTAAAGCTGCAGTTAGAACAATTATTTGCCCTCAAAATGATTATTTTGATACTGACACTACACTGGTGATGAAGAGAATGTTTTGGCAAGTTTGTTTTGCATTGGATCCTGTTAGTCTTTTAGTATTTCTTGTCAGGCCCAAATCCTTTGTCTTTTACCTTGTAATAACATCATGGTCCAGGCAGGGACTGCCAGGTTATAGTTAAGCCATTTATGTGTTATTCTGTTTTATGTTACTTTTTGTTGATTTTTTGTTTGTTTAGAATCTGTGCTTGTAACCAGGAAATTTGTATTTTGATGTATGAGAAATTGGGAGTGTGTTTTTTTCCCCTATCCCTTAACTATTTTTTGTCTTTTTAATGCACAGATCAGATAGGGAAGCTCATCTTTAGAGCATGAATACAATCAGCATTAAAACTCCCAGGGTATAAAATTAAACCATCCATCATAGATGCTTGTAAGTTATCTGTTGGAAAATAATTTCCTCCAGATAAAAGTGGATCTGGGGTATGTGTTAATGAGGGAATTCTTAGTTATTACGAACTAAAGACTGGAGAAAAGTTGAAACTTGTATTAGCCTGTTAAAATAAGGTTCTGAGCACCTTGTTGCCCCAAAATTAATGATCACTTTTGTTTATAAAGTTGTATAGGAAGAATGACTAGGAGCAGTGAAAGGGAATGCAGCCTATGCCACGTGTAAATTAGCTAATACTAGAACTGCTTATTTACGGTAGCATAGAGGCCTCTGATACTTGTGTTACATTGCTAGTACATTAAGTGTACTATTCTAAACTTGCTAAACAGGATAGACTTTGCTTGGAAGCGGATTGATAACCTGTGAAAACAAAGCATCACAACTATTATACGATCTCAAGGCTAGGGTTCAGATGTGGTTTAATATGGTTGTATGGAGTAGTCCTTTTTGGAAAATGTATTTGGGAGTGTAGTTTACATTCTCTTATTTGGTAAGAGGTATTGGCAGGATAGAAATGTAAAATTAAGGATTTTATCATTTTAATAATATATTTGAGAGCTCAGAAGAGTAGAAGAATGGTGACAAGACTTAATGGAAATTTAAGGTCAAAGTTACCTTGATGTAGGTATCTTTCTTTGCATTAAAAAAAATTATACTAGATCATTTCCCAATAGAGCGAGCCACTTACTGTGTAATTTTTATTTGCCAGTTTATCTGCAGTTGGCTTGGTGATTTTTCCCTTTGCATACTGTCCTCTGATTATTACCATTAATTAATCCATCCTTAAAACAGTGCATTTAATATCTTTGCTTGAGGAAGAGGTTTCTGTTGGTTTAGGAAGAAGAGTAGGTAGTCACATAGAAAAATTAAGTCAGTCATTTGATCATAGTTATAGCATTTACATGTTTAAAACAAATGGTTTGTGCTTTGTATTGTTTACTTCATTTTACATATAATATCCTGTCATCAGTTGTCTAACCCCATACACAAAAGTAAATTCAAAATGGATCAAACACCTGAATGTAAGTCATGAAGCCATAAAACCCTTAGAAAAAAACATAGGCAAAAATCTCTTGGACATAAACATTATCAACTTCTTCATGAACATATCTCTCCAGGCAAGGGAAACAAAAGCAAAAATGAACAAGTGGGACTATATCAAAGTAAAAAGCTTCTGTACAACAAAGGACACCATTAGTAGAACAAAAAAACTACCTACAGTATGGGGGAATATATTCATAAATGACAGATCTGATAAAGGGTTGACATCCAAAATACATAAAGAGCTCATGCACCTCAACAAACAAAAAGCAAATGATCCAATTAAAAAATGGGCAGAGGATCTGAACAGACAGTTCTCCAAAGAAGAAATTCGGATGGCCAACAGGCACATGAAAAGATGCTCCACATCGCTAATCATCAGAGAAATACAAATTAAAACCACAATGAGATATCACCTCACACCAGTTAGGATGGCCACCATCCAAAAGACAAACAACAACAAATGTTGGTGAGGATTTGGACAAAGGGCAACCCTCTTACACTGCTAGAATGTAAATTAGCTCAACCGTTTTGGAAAGCACTATGGAGGTTCCTCAAAAAACTCAAAATAGAAATACCATTTGACCAGGAATTCCACTCCTAGGAATTTACCCTAAGAATGCAACAGCCCTGTTTTTTTTATATTAAGATACACTCTTATGAAGATTTCACATGAAAAAACAATGTGATTACTACATTCACCCATATCATTAATTCCCCACCCATACCCCAATGCATTCACTGTCCATCAGTGTAGTAAGATGCCATAGATCAATTATTTGCCTTCTCTGTGCTACACTGTTCTCCCCGTGATCCCCTGCACCATGTGTGCTAAACATAATACCTCTCAATCCCCTTCTCCCTCCCTCCCCACCCACCCTCCCACACCCCTCCCCTTTGGTAACCACTAGTTCATTCTTGGAGTCTCCAAGTCTGCTGCTATTTTGTTCCTTCCGTTTTGCCTCATTGTTATACCCCACAAATGAGGGAAATCATTTGGCATTTGTCTTTCTCCACCTGGCTTATTTCACTGAGCATAAGGTCTTCCAGCTCCATCCATGTTTTTGCAAATGGTAGGATTTGTTTCTTTCTTTGTGTGTTTATTCCATTGTGTATATGTACCACATCTTCTTTGTCCATTCATCTACTGATGGACACTTAGGTTGCTTCCATATCTTGGCTATTGTAAAAAGTGTGCAGCAGCCCAGTTTGCAAAAGACATATGCACTTCTATGTTTATCGCAGCACTATTGTATACATAAAGGCAAGTTGGGCACTTAGATTCTTTCTTTTTTTTTCCTTCTCCCATTAGTACTTAGGTCGCTTGAGCTTTGGTGGAAATAGACATTTTATCTGAGATATTAGTCCCATCTAATACAAAATAACATGGAGTGACACATCTGTATATAAAACCCTTCCTCCCTGAACAGTCGTTCTGCCCTTTCCTGCATTCTTGCTATTAGTGGGACTGAACTGTAATTTCCTTCTTAAGGAGAATAGTTTGTTTAAGCTTGCCATTTACTGGTCTTTTTTTTTAACAGACTTTCAAATGCTCTGTGTCTTTACATTTAAGATGTGTCTTTTATAGACAGCATATATAGTAGGGTCCTTTCTGTGCAGCGGGAAAGCAGGAAAGAGCTCTTTCCTCCTGGCAGGCACCAGCACTGCTAGCCTGTGACTCCTGCCATCACTACAGGGGCCGAGCAGCTCTAGAGAGTAGAGCTGCTGGGCACTAGAAGGTGCTACGTACACCAAGTTAAATATGAAATGTCAAAAGAACCTGGTACAAACCAAAATCCCACAAACACCAGAAAGAGGGCCAAGGGAAACTGAACTCACCAATCTTCCTGAAAAAGATTTCAAAATAAAAATCATAAACATGCTCACAGAACTACAGAAAAATATTCAAGATCTCAGGGAGTAATTGAAGAAACATAGAAACTTTGAAAAAATACAGTATCTGAAATGAAACATACAATGGAGGGATTTAAAAGCAGATTAGATGAAGTAGAGGATAGGAAAAATGAACTAGAAACTGTAGAACAGAAATACAAAGAAGCTGAGGCACAGAGAGAAGAAAGGATGTATAGGAATGGAAGACTATTAAGAGAACTGTGTGACCAATCCAAACAGAACAATATTCACATTATAGGTGTACCAAGAGAAGAAGAGAGAGAAAAAGGGATACAAAGTGTCTCTGAGGAGGTAATTGCTGAAAACTTCCCCAGTGTGGGGAAGGAGATAGTCTCTCAGGCCATGGAAGTGCACACATCTTCCAACACAAGGGACCCAAGGAAGACAACACCAAGACATATAATATTTAAAATGGCAAAGATCAAGGATAAGGGCAGACTATTAAAAGCAGCCAGAGAGAAAAAGATCACATACAAAGGAAAACCTATCCGGCCATCATCAGACTTCTCAGGAGAAACCTTACAGGCCAGAAAGGAGTGGCATGATATATTTAATGCAGTCAAGCAGAAGGGCCTTGAACGAAGAATACTCTTCCCAGCAAGATTATCATTTAAATTTGAGGGAGGGATTAAACAATTCCCAGATAAGCAAAAATTGAGAGAATTTACCTCCCACAAACTGTCTCTATAGTGTATTTCAGAGGGACTGCTGTAGATGGAAGTGTTCCTAAGGCTAAATAGCTATCACCAGAGAAAATAAAACCACAGTAAAGGAAGTAGACCAATTAATTACTAAGCAAATACAAAATTAAATCAACTACCCCTGAAGTCAGTCAAGGGGTAGACTAAGAGTACAGAATATGATACCTAGTTTATAAAGAATGGAGGAGGAAGAAAAAGGAAGAAAAAAAAACTTTAGGTTGTGATAATAGCTTACTGAGTGAGTTAAGTTGGACTGTCAGATAGTAAAGAAGCTACCCTTGAACCTTTGGTAACCATGAATTGAAAGCCTGCAATGGGAATAAGTACATAGCTATCGATAATCACCCTAAATGTAAATGGTCTGAATGCACCAATCAAAAGGCATAGAGTCACTGAATGGATAAAAAAAACAAGAGCCTCTACAT